TTAGGCAACCTCTGTGAAAGGGTCCTTCGACCGCCAAAGGGGTCGCGACCCACAGGTTGAGAACCGCTGGTATAGAGGCTACAGCGGTGCGCCCGCACATTCCTTATTTGCGAGGATTCAGCGTGGGGCGAGTGCATGGCAAATGTGAGTTTTGTCTTTTGGAACTTTCTGGGATTTTTTTTCAAATATTTTTTATCTGTGCTTGATTAAATCTGTGGATGAAAAACCCTCGGATATGGAGGACAGATTGTGCTTACACGGTACATTGTGAAATGATCTCCACAATCAAGATAATTAGCACGTCCATCACCTCACATAGTCACTGTTATGGGTTTTGGTGGTGGTGGTTTCTGTTTGTGTTTTTGTAGTGAGAACATTGAAGATCTACTCTCTCCGCAAATTTCATGTACTCAATACAGTATTATTACCCATAGTCACCATTCAACTAGAACTTATTCAACTTATATCGTAAGGTTTGTACCCCTGACCAATGTCCCCCCATTTTCCTCACCACCCAGGGTCGGATGACCACCATGCTACTCTCTGTTTCTAGGAGTTTGCTGTTCTTAGATTCCATGTTTCAGTTGTGCTTTTATTTGCTCAAATTCGGAGATGGTTACTTATTTGCTAGCTGGGAAATCTAAACACCAGCTTCACCATCCTCCGTGGTATCCAAAGAATAGTTAATAACATAGAAGAATGACCACGGTCATTATAAAGAATAACAGAGCAGAAAATCAGAGTGGTTCCAACTGCCTTCCCCAAGTTATGGATCGTCCTTGCAGGGCACTTGTTCTGAACAAGGGGTTTTTATCTCTAATCCTCCAGGGCCATGACCCAACGTTATCTTCTGAATACACCTCCCTCTGTTGGGTCTATATTGCTTGAGTCGTGATCTGTTTGACATAAGCACACCCTTTAGGCAATTTCTGCCCGTTCTCATTACTGTTCATGTCCATTTTCTATGTAAGATCAACCAGCTATTTTTCCATTCAGAGATTCATTCTATAAATCCTGGTTAAGCACTTGGCGTATTCCTGGCCTCCTAATAAGCTCGGGGATGCTTTGGTGAGCAAGAGAGAGACGGTTTCTTTCCTTTCAGAGCATTTAGTCGTCAGGGAAGACATGCCTTTAGATGACCTAACTCGTGTTGATCCGGGAACTGTGGAGGATCGTGAAGGCACGTGGCCGGGACCCTTGATATAACTTCCAAACAGGTTACTTTTCAACTGGACCCCAAACGCCCAGTAGGAAGTTTACAGGCAAAAATGGGCCAATGCCATGTTTGCTGTCGTTTTTGGTAATTCTTCCTTAGGTTTTCACAAGATTGTTCACAGAAGGGCATTTTAAAATCTAGAAGACTTCCTTCTGGAAACCTTGATTTAACACTCTTTCTCCAGATTTCTGTACTTCCTGGGAGTGAGTCTTAATCTCTGAATTTAATTTCCTCTATGGATGTGGATTCTCAAAGAATCCGACTCCCTCTCAGAACCACGCAGGGTCTGTACTTACATGTGGAGCTGACTGCTGTGCACCCTAGTCCTGCTGAAACACAGCCCCTGGGAGGGTATGTGTGTGTGGCG